AATTGAGGGAGTAAACTGCAGTGTTGCAGAGAAGAAAATCCAGCAGTAGTATTGAGGAAGTTAAACCGCAGTAGCTTGGGGTCAGTTTAAACTGTAGTAGCTTGGAAAGTAAAATTGAAGTGTTGCAGAGAAGAAACTCCAGCAGTAGTATTGAGGAAGTTAAACTGCAGTAGCTTGGGGTCAGTTAAACTGCAGTAGCTTGGAAAGTAAAATTTCATATGTTGCAGAGCAGGTTTTGTTGCTGTCTTTGTTTACAGTAGCTTGAGGAGTATATTGAAGTATTGCAAAGTAGTTAATAGAATGAAGTAAAGGTTTTGTTGCCGTCTTTGTTAACAGTAGCTTGAGGAGCATATTGAAGTATTGCAGAGCAGATGATAGAATGAAGTAAAGTTGTTTTGTTGCTGTCTTTAATTAACAGTAGCTTGAGGAGCATATTGAAGTATTGCAGAGCAGTTGATAGAATGAAGTAAAGGTTTTTGTTGCTGTCTTTATTTGCAGTAGCTTGAAAAGTAAATTGAAGTGTTGCAAAGCTATTGATAGAATTAAAAGGTAGAAAGCTGGAGCAGTGTGTCTTTGTTTGATGTTTTTTTTTTGTTGTTATTGTTGTTTTGCACAAGCTTAAACTGCAGAGCAGTTCAGCTTGAGGGAGGCTGTTGGACTGAAGAATAAAACTGCACCGTTTAAGAATAAGTGATACGGTAGCGTTTTCTTTATGTTAGAGTGTTGCTTTAGGCAGCTCAGCTAAGACACTTATCGTGTCTTTCTTCTTTATAAGAAATATGGGTATAAAGTGTACAGTATCAGTGAACTTTACTAATTGAAATCAGATACAAATTTTCTTCGTTCTTTCTCCTCTGTTTTTCTTCTACTCTCTACTGTTGATTCATATAGTTTTCACATCCGGCGTCTCATCCACATAGGAATTATTAGTATTGACTATTGAGCTCGTTAAAATGAATTCCCTTTTTATTCTATCTCTAATTTTTTTTGAAATTGTGTCAAAGACTCTTGAAGATTCAAAGGATGTTTAATGGTTTTCTAGAGTTGGAATTAGCAAATTTAAGATATTTGGATTGACAGAAAAGGAGAGAAAGTTAAAAGGAAAAGTGAGAGAGAATGAAAATAATTTTTATGAATGAATTGGAATGGAATGCATTTTACACTATTATTTTTCCCTTTTAGCTGAAGCACGAAAATTTTAAAAATTTATATGTATTTTGACCTCTCTTATTCATTATGTATTACGCTTTGACCCCTTTTAAATTTACTTTTTATTTTATTTTATTTTTTAATTTCATTAATTTTTTGTAGTTTGATCTTCTCCTCTTTCTTAACATTACACTTTAAATATAATTTTTTAGTTCGTCCCTCCTTGTCATGTAAAGTCTACAAAACCTGTGCATGTTATAGAGCATTAATAAATAGACAAGCATAAGTAGGGGCAGAGCTCCATTCAAGCCTCAAAACTTTATATGAATGATTATTTATTTAGTCCCTTTAAACATTGAAAAGAGATTTCAATAAAAAAATATTACATTGAAAATTTAACAATTTTGTTTTTTAACGTTTGTTGGTAGAATAAATGAACAATTTTTTTTTTTTTACATTTTTCAATAGTTATACATTTATTTTATATTTATTAAAATTAATATATAATATATTATTAAGTTAACCAATAATATAATTAGTTGAAATATAATTTTCAAATTGTAAAAATATTGTACAGAATGAAATTATATATCCATTCTAGTAAGTATACATCGAACATCACTTTAAAAATAAAAATGCCAAACTCATATAACTATAAAATTTCAAAAAACATAACAAACTTAAAAATAAATATTTCCAAACCTTATTCACAACTTATTATTTTCACATTACAATAAAAAAGATTAAGCTTTAATTAAATAACAAATATTTTCTCATTACAATAAAAGGATCAAGGTTTAATTAAATAATGAAAATCTTCTTAAAGTTTTTGAAATAACAAAAATCTTAATATCTCTATGGTGCATTTGGTTTAGGGAATGTTGAATTACTGGGAATGTTATATTAATGGAAAGTTAGATTACCTTGAAGATTACCGAGAATCTTTAGGAAAATATGTTTGGTTAGTTGGAATAAATTGGTGGGTATGTTATATTAATATGTTTGGTTGGGAGAAATAAAATGGTGGGTATGTTATTTAAATTATTAAATTGCCCTCTTTTAAAATATTAATATAATACTATTTTTATTATTAATTTTTGAATAATTTCTTTTAACCTCCAACATTTCAGATATAGCTAAAACACCACAGCTTATATAAAACTTTAATTTATAACAAAATCACCCCCACCACCCCAAGCCACTGCTTGCCATCTGCCATTGGAAGTTGCCAAAAGTCATTGAAAATCGTTGGGAGTCGCCGAGAGGCTCGATATGGCCGTTTCTAGCCATATTGATGGCCTATAGTGGCCATGTCAAAGTAGATCTGATTGGAAATGGCTAGATCCATGGCTTTTAACGACCATATCTGGGCGAGATATGGTTGTTAACGGTCAAATCTATTTCTGCTAGAATAGATATGGTCGTTAACAGCCAGATCCATGGCTGTTATGTCAGTGTATGCCCTAAGAACCAATCATGTTGTTGGTTTCAGGATATTATATCTTGTAAATGTATTATAAATAAAAGAAAGTACTCTTATTTCACATGTTGATTTCGTTTATATTATATTTGATATTACATGTGAAATGTCCGGATGACACGAATCTTCAGAAGATCAAATCATCGAAGAATTCCCTACACAAATAATGTTAATTGGGTAATAACGTTGCATAGTAGACATACTGAAAATCTCCATTGAATATCATGTGATGATATTAGTGTGTGTGACTATAAGAGATATGTCACTAAGGCATTAGCATAGATAAAAGGTTAGTGAACCATTTATTGAACACAACCGATTACGATGAATCACATGGACATTTAGAATGTGGTCAATGATGTATCGTAGGATCGTGCTAGTGTACCACTAATCCTTAGATCTGAGACATCATAGTTAGATTCAACATAAGATGTATATGGTCATGTATTGTGTAATAAGCCGGTTTGGTCATATGTTATTTATGTGCGAGAACAAGTGATGGTCAAGATGGGATCCGTTAACTCAAAATAGTTCAATCTCGAGCTCCCAGACGAATGTCAATAAACATGGGAAAAAGGAAATCTCTCGCTAGAGTATAATGAATGTCAGATGAAAAGTAGTTTTATGTTAATGAGTTTCCTTGTATCGATTGACAATTTGATTAAAGATTAAATTAAGGGTTTTGACATACTATGAACCATTCTTAATTGGGATTAGATGACGAATGGTTTTTACTACATGGTACATACGATCAGAAAAGGTTAATTGAAGTTTACACTTTATTATGGTTTAGGGGTTATGAAATATTGCTAGGCGCCTACCATAATCAGTGGGAGTTTCGATTATAAATAGCTATAACGAAATATACCGAAATCCGAGATTAGGCCCACGGCTAGATCAAAGTGAACCAAAATGGTCACACATAAAACCAAGCTCAAGAAGAGAGAGTAATGCATATCATTGATTGGATTAATAATGTTCTAACGTAAACAGTTGCATCCGAAATAATGTATTGGTGAGAAATGATTATCCATGAATAGTTCACTAACCAAGGGTAATAAAGATTTATCAAATATTATTATTGAATTGAATTCAATAATGGTGACAAAAGTACATTGATTTTATTCTAAATAGTTAGAATATTTAATGAGATTAAAATTTAGGCTAATTATGAATTAACCATAAAACCAAGGACTTGACATAAATGCTCTTTTCCAATATTAATTTTAAATGTTTGAGGAATTCTAAGACAATTTAAATTTGCACTTTGTGCCCATGGTATATAAACCAAGTGTTAAACCATTTTCATTCAATTGAAACAAAACCACTCTCTCACTCGCTCGACTCTCTCACTCTCTTGATTCTCTCTTTCTTGGCTTGTGTGGATCAAATTTTGAGATTCTTCAAGTTTACTTGAAGAACTAAGACTCTAAGAAAGAAGATTCAAGTGTTGAATAGCAAAGGAGTATGTAATATTTCATCCTTACCTTGAAATGTTTTGAGCTTATGTGTTATGTTTGTGTTCTACCTTACATCCATCATCTTGTTCATTATTTTTACACCATTTTCATATCCAAAATACATGAATCTCAACACGTTAATGGCCATATCTCACCCAGATCTCACCCAGATATGGTTGTTAATGGCCATGGATCTAGCAGTTAACGACCATATCTACTTTGATATAACTGTTTTTGGCCATAAATATGGCTAGAAACGGCTATATCGGAGCCTCCTGACGACTCCGGCGACTTCCGATGGTGGTTGGCCAATTGCCCACGGTGATGGTGGTAGTCTGCAATTTGTTTTGAATTCAAGGGTAAATTTGTCCAGAAACTTAATTAAACAAGGGTAAAATTGTAAAAGCTAGATTAATGTAAATTGATTTTAAAACATTGGCATTATTGTCCAAAAATTTTATTAATAAGGGATAAAATTGTAACAAAAATATAATAACTAAATAATCTTATAATACTTAAGAAAATGGAGGTTATTAGATTACCTGCAATATTATAAATAGTAACTACCATTGGTATTGAAAGATTAACAGAATCTTATATTATTTGACAATCAAATGTAGTAATCAAATAATATAAGATGACATAACTTCAGTAGTCCTATATAACCCACAACCAAATGCCCTCTTAAGGTTTAGGTATTAAAATAAATCTAAAGAAAAAAAGTCTATAAACATAAACTCATAATACTCTCAGTTTTAAGAGGTTATTAAAGATTCATTAACAAGAGGAAGAAATTTGTTGTTACATCAAACCGGGGGTTTTCCTAATATGTATAGAATACAAATAGGATTCTAATCTCTCATTATCTAATCACTCTGGAACGAGAGTAACTTCAACATTTTCTCTCTGACTCATCTAATTACTCGGTTGAGTACACGTTTGCTTGGCTTGCTGAAAAGGCCAGGCCGATAGGTGTAAATGAGCAAGTGCCATATGAGGGAAAATTGCGAAGCCATAAACAAGAGCATGAGCGAACAGGCTGATACTCCCACTAAACCAAGCATCAAATATGCCTTTTTCTCATAGAAAATCTGATAAACAGTTGTGCCAAACGCTACCATCATTGACGTTATGGAGATGAACATGATAACAACTCCGAATATGAACTTTCTAGGAAGGGCCTCAAGAAAATCATCTTGTTTGTAGCGTGCAGTGATGATGGACATGAATATTATGGCGGCCGCAATCGATGAGAACAAGGAGAGTGCATCTGAAAACCCAAATGTCATGAACACACTCAATTTATTGTAGCCACCAGTTCCACTGAATGCTGCTTGGAAAACTAGTGTGGCAGTCACTGTTGCCGCTACTATGCTTGAAGTTGCTGCTTGCTTCATCCATTGCTCACCTTCTGTAACAAGTTTTTTATGGGACTTAAAAAATACTGTAGCTGGAGTTTCTCCTACACAATTTTCTTCGTTTTTGCAGTCGGCAGGTACAATGTTCTCTACTTCCTGTATAACATAAACTTCGTAATTACAAAATAACATAAATATATGAAACCCAACAAAATGTCTACTAAGTTAGGAGGACCTAAGCGTTATAAACTAAATTCTAAACTCATTCGCTAGTAATGTATGAGTAGAATGTGACGACTGAATTGAACATTGCCCAAAACATGTCTATTTGGTTAGGAGGACTCAAGTCTTATAAACTAAATCTAAAGCTCATTAATTCACTAGTAATGTAGGAAGTCTTCCTAAACTAAATCTCAAACTCATTGGCTTGCAATATCGGATGTAATAATTGACTTGAATTTTGAAGAGTTGTGCCCATATTTCTTCTAAATTGAATCTCAAACACATTTGTTGGCAATTTAGGATGTGATGATTGACTTAAACATTGACGAGTGACGCTTCTTAATCACCTCACCTAAATATTATATCCCGCGTTTAGAAATGGACTATTAAAACTGTTTCTTATTTAGCCTGAAATCACTACATTGCTACTTATATTTCATTAACAAGCTAAACTGTAATAATTGATTACTGATGGGACAAGATATGATAAGATTAGACTATAAATTAATTATGTGTAACGAAGCTCATATTTCATTAACAAGCTAAACTAAATAACATCGTAAATATGAACTTTATATATTTCAAATCAATCTTAGTTTTCACTACCCCAAAAGTCATGCAGTAGTGCAAAAAGCAGCAATTTTAATGTTAATATCAGAAGTCTTACCTTATACCACTGTAGCTCACGCTGCATTTGAAAAGCTGCACCAGCAATGACATTTAGTTTGTTTTCGGGAGCTAGCTTTCCAGCAAAATGCAAGATGTTGTTCTTGTCAATGTCTTGAGACATTAATAACAAATGTTTGTGGTCAGTCATTTGATATATGAGGTTAAATACTTTCTCTTGACGATTCATGACTGCTAAGTGGAACAAGTTTTGATTCTTTTCATTCGTAAACCAGATTGCATCAGGATATGACTTTATAATCGCTTCCACGATTTCGCAAACCCCTAATTCTGCCGCTAAAAGGAGTGATCGTTTTAGTATCAAACAAGTTGTTGTATAGTCAGTTTTACCTTCTGCAATTACCTTGCACAACTTTTTGACAAGCTCAATTACTTTGTCATGCATCAACTTTGTTTTTCCTTTTTTTTTTGTATCTGCAAATTAAACAGACTCAATGGTCAACAATGACAATAACTGTATATTTAACCTAGTAAAATGTTTGAGTAAAATACTAGATAGATTTGTTCTTAGTGTTTTGAAAAATTATGTTTAAATTGCTATTAAAAAATAATTTTCAAATTAAAGTACAATTCAAATGTTTGGGTTGTATTTTAAATATTTGCAAATATGTTTGATATAGTATTCAAAAAATGTTTTCATATTAAAAACTATAGAAAACTGTGAAACGACTTTTAATTTTATTTTTATTTTACATTAATTTTTAGGATTATACAATTCTTGCATCAAATGATCTATACTATAAAATATTAAATTAAAATAGTTTCAATTTCTAAAACTATACAAGTACTAAACTACTATATTGTAAACTTGAGATTGTGTATTGTGAAAACATAAGATTAGGATTCTCTCCTGATTTAAGTTTTACCTAAACTTTATATAATCGGTTGAAATGTGGCTACTAAAGAATGTATGGTCATGATTCACTAATTAACTTTTTTCTTATTTCACAATTCGAAAACAATAATACTAATTAATAAATAAAAGCAAAATAAAAGCAAAATAAAAAGTTTCAATCCTTTTTTATTTGAAATATTTTCATTTGTAGAATATTACTCGAATGTTTATTAATACATGCTGATCTAAAATAACTTTTATACAGCAATAAAAATTAAAAACAAAAGAAATATATACTCACCCTTAGAAAAGCGAAAGTATTCCCGAAACGGTAGCTTTCTTGTTCCTCCACTTGGAAATGCAGATGGCTTTCTGGTTATTTCACTCAAAAGAGAGTCACCACCATAAAACGTCATTGTCGCTAATATTGGACGGTGATTAAGCAAGTCTAAAGCCAAGTCTGATTCATAAGGAGGAAAGTTACTGTAAATATGTATCAATGAAGTAAAATGAAACTTTCATCGGCATATTGAAAGTTAGTTTTGAAAAATCAGCTATGTAATCAGTTATAGTTAGTAGTAGCAGAAGAAAGAATTAACTCACCATAAAATTCAGCAATTATAAGGTATTTTGCGAAAAGAACACCTGATGTAAAACGTGTTGGAGAATTATAATCAAAATCTTCGATGCTGCTTTGCAATAAGTAGTCGACCATATCCTTTTGACCATGTCGAGTGGCCTCAACCAAAGGTATCCTTTTAGAATTGTTTAAATTATGAATTAAACTTTGATCTTTATCTTTTATCAATATCATGCTGGCTGCTCGGACATTGCTAACAATTGCAGCAACAGAAAGGACCGTGTTGCCCTCTTTATTTTTCTGTGACACTTGATCCATTGACATCTTATTCAATAGATACCCCACAATATGATTGGCCTTGCCTGTCCCAACAGCTACATGAAGAGCTGTGTCTAAGTTTACCGTAATCCTCGCTTCTAACGCATTCTCATCGTTATCACAGAGTTCTTGTACAGATTGCAGATCGCCTTCGAGTATAGCTTTGTATAATGGCAGGTATTTCTTGAAATCCTCTGCGATAAAAAGAAAAAGAAAACTTTTCAGACTTTTTTTTTTTTTTTTTTTTTTTTTTTTTTAAAGGTTGTTGTTGGTTGGAATATTATTTATTAACCTCTGAAAATGTATTTTAGTTTTCCGCTACTTACCCGGCTCTCTCCCTTCCGCTGACGCGGTAGTCTGCGAAGAAGAAGAAGCGATTATAAGCTGTAATGAAGAAGAGATCGATATTGTAGTTTGACAGCGCGTACCTGAGCATTGCCTTGGAACTCTTCTTTCAAAGCGTCCCATGCTTCTTTCGCCTTCTGAGCACGAGAAATTTTGCGGAAAATATTATCATCCACGGCTTGTTGAAGGATGAAAAGTGCTGCTGCATCATTTTTCTTACTTTCTTTCAACTGCTTCTGTTGTTGTTCAGATAGAGTAGAGCCGCTGATCTCTAAATAGTTTCCATAATTAACAATGTCCCATAAGTCTTGAGAAAAAAAATATGTCTTCATCTTAAAACTCCAAACATCATAATTTTCCCCAGTAAAGATGGGGATAGGAAGAGCAAGTGGACTGGTGTTTCCTTTGGCCATGGCGAGGAATTCAAGGTATAGTATTGAACCCTGTTGCCTATGTATATATAATGAGGACAGTTAGTATTTGGTAGTTGATAATTGCAAGAAAGTATATGAGAATGGCAGATGTACATGTGCTATTTCACTAAATAAAAAATCTAGAATATAATGGGGTAGTGTAAATAGTATGTATCATCACATGTTTATCAAATTTTCTTTTTTATTTATCCATCTTTATTATTTATGAATAAGTATCTTTATTGTTTGATCTATAACCACTACCATAAGAGGAGGTTTTTGAAAATTAACAATACATGTCTTTGTTTCATAAAGTGACAATGAGACTGTTGAATATAAGTATCGAACTCTGTTTCCTATTTATATATAAATATAATGATGGAGAATGCTCATATAGCACAGCTATTATTTGGTACTTGGTAACAGCAAGAAAGTAGGTAGGACGGGGTTTGTTTAGTAATTGTAAGAAACCGGGGGCTGATGTGTGATCTGGCTAAAAGGGTATTAGAAATTAGAAATAGGATGAAGGGTTTTTGTGTAAAGGGAACTAGGGGAAACTTTTTTTTTTTTTTTTAATGGGAAAATCTTGAACATTTTGGAAGTAATACATGAATTATCACCAATTCTTTAGTTTCCTCGATTACTATTTGCATAAATATTGTAATAATTTCTGTTTGTTAATGGAGAGAGTTCGAGAAACATATCTTTTTTTTGGTACCAAGATAAGATCTATAAATCTATAATTAATAACAAAAAAAAAGAGATTCATACCAAAATTTCTAAAAGTAAAAGTACACGAACAATTATTTTCTTTAAGCTGTGTTGATGTTTAATCCTTTGAGAACTTCTGGATAGCTGCATTTGTACATATTGACAATCAGAAACTGAATTTATTAAAAAAATAATAATAATAAGTGTTAACATGAATGGAAACTTTATGTGAAATAATGTGTTATGCCCAGGAAAATAAAAGGCTGACGTGGAAATGTCACGTGAAGGTGACCTGCTCCCGTCAAAGCAACACGCACACGTCAGACCTGCCAAGTGATATGGGGCTCACACGCGTCCATTTCCCTGCAATAAGTCGTGCGATGTCAGCTTGGGAAAAGGAAAATGGGACGTAAAGCCGGATTACATCCTGACAATCACACCAAACCATGGATTTAGTGATGATTATACGCTTCAGTTTGATATAAAATGAAGAAGACCCCTTCATTAAGGGGATTCGGCCATTTTTCATAAAAAGAAATCTCTCTCTTCTGTAAACATTTTTACTTTTTCAACTTATGTAAGTCAGCCCGCAACCGCGACCTGACCCATACTAACATCAATACAAATCAGTGGACGTAGGACTTGCTACCTTAGCATCCGAACCACTTAAAAAACTCCCTTTGCATTTATTTCGCTTTATAAATTCCATTTTCATGTGTATTAAACAGCCAATCAACGATACACACGTGAGAATTCGTTGGTGCTTAAACTGAGCATCAACATAATGTAACAACCTTTTATTTATTTATAGAACTTTTTATTTATATTTTATAGAATAATAGTATCGAAAGAAGTATTCCAATAACCACTGGAGAGTAGCTGGTGTTCTAGTTGTTCCACACTTTTTGAAGGAAGCCATTCAATCTCATATCGAAAGGAGTATTATATACACCGCTTAGGCCATGGGTTACACAATAGTGCCGTGTTTTATATCTATATATATAAAAAATAAATTAAAAAAATAAAAAAAAGTACTGAAGACTAATTAGTGTTAACTTAAATAGAAAAATAAATTTAGTTCTATAGTTTGAATTTAGAAAAAAGAAAGAAATATAAAAGGCCAGCAACGTCCACAATCTCGCTTGCGTAGCCAAATCAAAGCCCGAATTGTTCTTTTTTGTGTGTTTTGAAACTTGTATCATTTTTCTCTTTTTCATAAAACTATGTCCCCTAATTGATAATACCCCAAGTGAATAAACTTATTTTATTTATTTTTTGTGAATTATCATCGTTAAAATATGTCTAGTTTTAGTTTGTCATAAGTATATAATATTGTATTGATAACACCAAATTTGACTAGAATTAGAATTTAGCTTCAGAATCATGGCCTACCCTCAAATTTTAAAGAAATATATAAATATTTATATGTAATTTTTTTTCTTTTTATATCAATTTTAACTAAAAACATAGAATATGAATATTATATACTATTATATTTTACTTTGGTCCACTTTAATAAGAATTTCTAGATCCGTTACTGTATATAATCTTTCTAGATCTCAGATTTGACAATTAAAAGGATTTTTTTTTTTCTTTTCTTTTTTTAAGAATCTAAACAGAGTGAGCGATAAGAATTCAAAAGAAAGAAAATCAAAACAGCCCCTTAAATTAAATAATTAAGGGGCTGTTTAATTTTATCACATAACACATAATTAAGGACCTTTAGGTTGTGACTTCACACAAATATGTAGGAGAAAATCACGGAAAGAGATTTGAGTAGTTCTATGATGTCATCTGCAAGATTTAAAAGTTTTCTTTATTAATTATATAATTTCCACTCCACATATGTGGACTTTTGGTTTTTTTATTGTGCTTTGATTTTCATAATAATATTATAATATAATATATGTATTTTTTTAATAGGGAAACATCAAGTCATTTTTTTTAAGATCTTGATCCACTAGTGTCAAATGTTAATAGATGCATTTATTTTACTTGTACTTTGATTTTTGTAATCTACTATATTTTTTAAAATTAATAAATTAATACCCTTTTCTTTACTTTATTAATAAACAACAGTCTGTTTCTAATTAATTCTTGGTCCGCTGGTTACTACTGCCATATGTCAACAATTCATATTTTACTATACTTCAACCTTTTAATCTACTAGAATTTTTTAATAATTATTAAATTAATATCCTATCCTTCATTCACTTTAATAAGGTAATACAAAGTCTGTTTTTATTATTTCTTGGTCCACTAGTGTCATGTCCCAGTATTTAGTATTTTATTTTGCTTGCTCTTGTTGAAACAATCTAGAGAGTGCTTGGAATCAATATAAACTCACAAATAATGAAAAATAGTAAAGAGAAAAAGTGCGTAATCTATCTTGGTTTACCCAAACTTGGGCTAGATGTAGCAAAGTTTAATACTATTTCAATATTATCTATATTCTCTCATTACAATAAATGTATTTTATTATGATTTTTCATATCACTTATATAAAAGAATAATATGTTTAGATACTAAGATTCTTATTCCTAAAACAAACTCTAATACGAGACCCCTGAATACATCTACTTAGCCTACTAACATTGAAGCAGCAGCTCACGGCTATAGCTTGAGAGTGCATGAATGTCGAAGTGGCTGCCACCTCCAATACTTGTAATCTGCTAAATATTATAAAAGATTTATAATAAATTAACACCCTACCCTTTACTTAAATATGCAAACACAAAGTTTTTTTTTTTTAAAATTAATTTTTGGTGCACTAATGTCTGTATCAATATTTGATATATTATTGCGCTTTGGTATTATACATTAAATAAAATATGTTGAATTTGTATTATATAATGTGTTTATTTTATTTGAATTTGAAGATTGACCCAGAATTAATAACAAAAGACTTTGTGTTTCCTTACTAAAGGAAAGGACAAAGGAAACGACAGAGTATCAATCACTTTAATAATTTTTTTTTAAATGTTGCAGATTACAAAATCAAACTACTGTAGTTGGCAAAGAATTTTAATAGAAAAAGACTTTGTGTTTCCTTGTTTGAGTAAAGGGTAGGGTATTAATTGACTATATTTTTTGGATTACAAAACCAAAGCATAATAAAAAACCAAACATTGACACGTGACAGTAGCTGACCAAGTTATAGAAAAAGAAGACTTTTAACTTATATGTAGTGGAGCCAAAATTATAAATTTGATAGTTATTACGTAGTGGAGCCGAAAAAGAAGACTTTTAATTTAAGATATAAAATAAATCTCTAATTCTGGCTAATGGCATCTACAAGGAATCTCTTCCCGTTATTTCCTCCCACAAATTGTCATCTAATCTTCAGATCTGAGATCCGGATGAGTTAATGTCAACAAATATGGAAAGAAGTTGCCTCAAACGTGTAAAACATTTAATTCCTTCCCAGCTGTGTTTATAACTATAAATTTATATACAATTTGTTATGCTTGAGACCTGCTCCCGTCAGAACGGCAAGCGCACATCAAGCCTGCAAGACGTCATAGAGCTCCCACGTGTCCATTCACTGCTCCAAATCGCGTGAAATCAGCTTGGAAGGTGGGCAATGTGACGTAAAGCCGGATTTAGCCCTGACATTCACACCAACCCACGGATTTAATGATGGTTACCTGCACTCATCTCACTATAAAAAGAAAAGACCCCTTCATTGAGGGGATTCGGCCTTTTTACACTCTGAGCTAGCTTTCTCTCTCTCTCTCTCTCTCTCTCTTGTATTTTTGTTATTTTTCCTAATCATTTGTAAGTCAGTCCGCTGTTGCGACTTGACCCTCAATATTAATACAACAATCAATGGACGTAGGACTTGCTACCTTAGCATCTGAACCACTTTAAAAACCTCTCATTACTGCATTTATTCTACACGTTATCAATACCCACGTGTGTCTCTTGGCCAACCAACGTTACGCACGTGTCGATTAGTTGGTGTCAAAATCACACATCAACAATTTGGCACTAGAAGGAGGGCCCTGATTGAGTGTTCATTGTAATAGCCGCTTTCTACTCAAATACTCATGAAACATGTACATAATAAAATGCATATAAAATAGCATAAAAAGGTTGGGCCCAAATTTTTCTTTTATTAAATATATACATTATTTAAATACAAAAAGTTGTATCATGTACAAAACATCAAAACAGGGTGGACAGTGTAGCCATTTCCCTTCGCTTGCCGACGCCCATCCGACCGTGTCCTCACCTAGATCCCGCAAAACATAAAAATCAAAGGGGTGAGCACAACTAATGCTCAGTAA